AGGGCTACACGGGGGACCTTTGTCTTTGTTGCGTCTTTGCCAGTCGCACCCGAGCTGCAGGAAGGGCAGCCCGTGACCTTCTCTGTGCTGGAGAAGGGCGCCGCTCTGCTGAAGATCGAGACGCGGGCAAACCCGCCGGAGGTCACAGTGGAGTGGAGCCGGGCGGGACAGATACTCGTGAAGAGTGAGGTCACACACAGTCATCACAATACACACTCACGACACACACACACGACACACACACACTCAACACACACACACTCAACACACACTCACTCATCACACACACACGACACACACACACTCACACACACTCGACACACACACACACTCATCAACCACACACTTTATCACACACACTCAACACACACTCACCACACACACACTCACTTAACACACACGACACACACACACTCAACACACACACACACGACACTCACCACTCACACTCACACACCCTCAACACACCACACTCACCCCACTCACTCAACACATACACACTCATCACACACACACTCATCAACCACACACTCACACTCAACACACACACTCACTCAACACACACCACACTCACACACTCACGACACAAACACACTCACTCAACACACTCAACACACTCGACACACACACACACACTCATCAACCACACACTTTATCACACACACACTCAACACACACTCACCACACACACACTCACTTAACACACACACAACACACACACTCACGACACACACTCACTCACACTCAACACACACACACAGTCAACACACACACACAGTCACCACACACACGCACAACACACACGCACAACACACAGTCACACACACTCAACACACCACACTCACCCCACTCACTCAACACATACACACTCATCACACACTCACTCAACACACACACTCACCAAAAACACACACACTCAACACACACACTCAACACACACTCAACACACACTCACGACACACACACTCACCACACACACACTCACCACACACACACTCACCACACACACACTCAACACACACTCACGACACACACACTCACCACACACACACTCACCACACACACACTCACCACACACACACTCACCACACACACACTCATCAATCACACATTCAACACACTCATCAACCACACACTCACTCACTCACCACTCACTCAACACACTCACTCAACACACTCACTTACTCAACACACTCACTCACTCAACACACACACTCAACACATACACTCACCACTCACACTCACCACACACACACTCAACACACACACTCACCACACTCACTCACCACACACACACACACTCACCACACACACACACTCACGTCACACACACACAGTCACCACACACACACAGTCACCACACACACACTCAACACACACACACTCAACACACACACACACTCGACACACACACTCACGACACACACACACGACACACACACTCACCAAAAACACACACACTCAACACACACACACTCAACACCTACACTCAACACACACACTCACCACACACACTCGACACACTCACTCACTCACCACACACTAAACACACACACTCACTCACCACACACACTCACACACTCACCACACACTCACCACACACTCAACACACACACACACACTCAACACACACACACTCACCACACACACACTCACCACACACACACTCACGACACACACACACTCACCACACACACATTCAACACACACACTCACCACACACACACTCATCAACCACACATTCAACACACTCATCAACCACACACTCACTCACTCACCACTCACTCACTCAACACACTCACTCACTCAACACACTCACTCACTCAACACACACACTCAACACATACACTCACCACTCACACTCACTCACTCACCACTCACTCAACACACTCACTCACTCAACACACTCACACACTCAACACATACACACTCAACACATACACACTCAACACACACACACTCAACACACACAGTCAACACACACACACACGACACACACACACGACACACACACTCCCCACACACACTCAACACACACACACTCAACACACACACACACACTCACCACACACACTCACCACACACACACAACACACACTCACCACTCACACACACTCACACACACTCAACACACCACACTCACCTCACTCACTCAACACACACACACACTCACCAAAAACACACTCACCAAAAACACACACACTCAACACACACACTCAACACACACACTCAACACACACACTCAACCCACACACTCATCAACCACACACTCATCAACCACACACACACTCACCATACACACTCACACACACACTCACCACCCGCACTCGACACACTCACTCGACACACACTCACTCACCACACACACTCATCAACCACACACTCACCACACACACTCGCCACATAAACTCAACACACACACTCACTCAACACACACACTCACTCACCACACACACTCATCAACCACACACTCACCACACACACACTCACCACACACTCAACACACTCACACACACACTCACCATCCCTCACCTCCAAGGTCGACCGAGATGGCGCGGTGGTGAGATGTTAACTACTTCGCCTGGTACGCAGGAGGTCGTGGGTTCGATCCCGACCCTGACGATGCCTGCTGCTGCTGTATAGTTGGAGTTTGTGTGTGTCTCCCTCTCATCATCATCACCACGGTGGCTAGGATATGTTAACTACCTCGCCTGGTGTACAGGAGGTCGTGGGTTCGATCCCGACCCTGACGATGCCTGTTGCTGTATATTTGGAGTTTGTGTGTCTCCCTCTCATCATCATCATCATCACGATGGCTAGGAGATGTTAACTACCTCGCCTGGTACACAGGAGGTCGTGGGTTCGATCCTGACTGACGATGCCTGCTGCTGTGTATTTGGAGTTTGCATCTCTCATCATCATCATCATTACGGTGGCTAGGAGATGTTGACTACCTCGCCTGTTGTACAGGAGATCGTGGTATATTTGAAGTTTGCGTCTCTCTCTCTCTCTGCCCGTGATGGCATGGATTTTTCTCCGGGTCCTACGGTTTTGCCCCCCACCCCCTCGTGTACCACAGTGGCGGCCTTCATAGGCGCTGCTGCTGCTGCTACACGCTAACAGCACTTGCCCCGACGCATCTGCTCAGGCTACCTGGGGGACCTTTGTCTTTGTGTCAGAGGGAGTGGCGCGCTAGTGTGCGACATCTCGAACATAGGTGCTGCTGCTACTCACTAACTGCACTTGCCCCGATGCGTCTGCTCAGGCTACCTGGGGGACCTTTGTCTTTGTGTCAGAGGGAGTGACCCGCTAGTGTGCGACATCTGGGACATAGGTGCTGCTGCTATTCACTAACAGCACCTGCCCCGACGCGCCTGCTGAGGCTACCTGGGGGACCTTTGTCTTTGTGTCAGAGTGACCCGCTCGTGTGGGACATCTGGAACATAGGTGCTGCTGCTACTCACTAACAGCACTTGCCCCGACGCGCCTGCTGAGGCTACCTGGGGGACCTTTGTCTTTGTGACAGAGGGAGTGACCCGCTAGTGTGGGACATCTCGGACATAGGTGCTGCTGCTACTCACTAACTGCACTTGCCCCGACGCTTCTGCTCAGGCTACCCGGGGGACCTTTGTCTTTGTGACAGAGGGGGGCGGCTCGCAGGAGGTGTGGAACGTCGGCGCGCGTGCCACTAGCGGCACTTGCCCCAACGCGTCTGCTCAGGCTACCCGGGGGACCTTTGTGTCAGAGTGACCCGCTAGTGTGGGACATCTGGGACATAGGTGTTGCTGCTACTCACTAACTGCACTTGCCCCGACGCGTCTGCTGAGGCTACCTGGGGGACCTTTGTCTTTGTGTCAGAGGGGGGCGGCTCGCTAGTGTGGGACATCTCGAACATAGGTGCTGCTGCTACTCACTAACAGCACTTGCCCCGACGCGTCTGCTGAGGCTACCCGGGGGACCTTTGTCTTTGTGTCAGAGGGGGGCGGCTCGCTGGAGGTGTGGAACGTCGGCGCGCGTGCCACTAGCGGCACTTGCCCCAACGCGTCTGCTCAGGCTACCCGGGGGACCTTTGTCTTTGTGACAGAGGGGGGCGGCTCGCTGGAGGTGTGGAACGTCGGTACGTGTCACTCGTGGCACTTGCCCCGACGCGTCTGCTCAGGCTACCCGGGGGACCTTTGTCTTTGTGTCAGAGGGAGTGACCCGCTAGTGTGGGACATCTGGGACATAGGTGCTGCTGCTACTCACTAACTGCACTTGCCCCGACGCGTCTGCTCAGGCTACCCGGGGGACCTTTGTCTGTGTGACAGAGGGGGTGGCGCGCTACGTGCTGAAGGAGGGCGGCTCGCTCGAGGTGTGGAACGTGACCCGCGCCGACGCGGGCGACTACGACGCGGCGATGACCAACGCGGAGGGCACGGGCAGAGCCACCCTGCGTCTTGACGTGCACTGTGATGGTGG